AATTTCTTGGGCCCAAAAAGAAGAAAATGTAAAAGACAACAATCTATTGTTACGAAAAATTGAAAAAAATGAAACGCAATTCGTACAAATATCGTATGGATGAGAGGTAAATCATGGAGTCCTACCAGGAATCAGTCCAGACTAAACAAATGACGAAAGATAGTCTGAAATCTGTACCGGGATGTGCCGAACAGTTCAGTTCGCCCAGAGCACTAGGCGAGAGCACTTGCTAATGATCCATATTATATATGCGCATTTATAATATATTGTTTTCTTTTATCTCAACACCAAATGTATTATTAATATTCAGTCTACTACAATATACCAGCCCAATTAATTATTTAAAAATGTGTGTTTTGAATTGCAACGATTGACTCCCACTTGCCATAAACTATATTCTACACTATTTAACAGAGAAAAGTATCGACATAAGACATCTCTCGCTAGAAATATCCGTCGTAGAAATAAATAGAGTGGAATTCACCGAGACACGCCTCATTTTAATTGACTCCAACTCGCGCAAATTGATCTCCCTTGTTTCAAAACACATAATGCGTGATTCATCGTTCAAGCACGAAACACTTGTGCGTTTATATTCCAACGTCTTCCGTTTCCTAACTACGTATTATCACGGCCTATCACATTCCAAGAGTGATTATTCCCTTGGTTGTTTTGTTTTATTTTTCTCCTCATCTTAATTTTCATTCCCAGCAACCCGGCACCTGACGAGCATCAATAAACAATATCACGATAAACAATCATTCGAGACCATGAATTATCATTCACGAGAACTCTCTATCAAGAATAAGAAGAAATCAGCGCCTTACGCGTGGAATCTCAGGTATCGACAGGGTCGATGGAAGCGTTTTTTTAAAATTTTATTGCCTCTTTCAGTTCGTAAAATTCAAGATATTTATGGCTGTCGTGGTTGACTCGCCCAAGGCTTGCAGGCGTGCGACCTGCATAGCAGCATCAAGGTCAAGTGTAGCGTTCCACCTATCCTATGGGTTGAGTAAAAATGCAAAGCCACCCGTTAGAGACACACCTGGCGGCACACACTTAAATTCTTCTTCTCGACTCTGCAGAGATACGTGAAGTCAAATACTTCGACAGGTGATGAACGTATCATGTGGCTTTTTTACGCACCGACCCGATATAAACTGAGGATTTCATTGGATTTTCGTTTTTGCTTCCGGATGGAAGCCTTGCTTTTGACCGATTTTTCAATTTTCTAATTTTGATTGCAAAGGGTCAAAAGATTATGAAACGTGAAGAAATGATGATTTTAGGGCCATGTCTTATATGAATGTATCCGACTTGGGTTTTTGGTGACTAGAAATGGTCGCGCGCTGACGTGCAGGCATTACACGGAGATAAATATTCAATAAAAATTACGTATCTTTTCCGTAATTCCGGAGCGAAATGTGGGTGTAGGAAATTTTACAGAACTGTCGCGGAATTTTTGCAAAGCATTCCGAAATTTTTACTAACCATTTCTCTCCGTGCTGTCAAAAATTTTGTCATCTCCCTTAGATTCTGAGATATTCATTGAAAACTGGCAAATAGTCTAAATCGACTTAAAACGTTTAACCACTTCGCTACTGATTTGATGAAGAATTGTTATTGGATCAATGGAGAACTAATGGGGGAATATGATTTTTCAAATGGAGTTTTGCAGCGTCAATATACCTCGAAAATTGCACTTCCTTCACACAGAGAGAAATGTCCGAGAAAAATTACCGTGCTCACACAGTAGTGTGTTCAGATGGTCTTTCCAGGCGAAATATACCGCAAAGAGTAGGAAAAAGTACTGTTGCACAAGTCATTTTTCGGATAAATGCGGGGAAAAATTCTTGTGCAGCACGGTAAAATCGAAGCGACCGTGAATTTTTACGAGAAATACGGGAAAAATTATGACACTGGCTGGCAAATTTTTTCGGTGCTTTACCAGAATCCTAGGACCTGTTAGCACATTCGTAAGATTTCGGCACTCTTCGTCCCCCCGCCGCAACCACGAACATCAACTCAACGTGACCAGATGATTTATTCCGTCGCCTCCTCTCTCACATATCACCTTACTGAAAAACCCCAGGTTAATGTTTTTCATAATATCAACTCAGTGAAATATTAATTAGTGTTGTGATAAAACGGTTAAGAAATAGAATAAGTGCCCTTTATTTTCTCTTCATGAGGTGTATAACGCTGTAGAGATGCATTGGCCTGTCAAACGTTCCTCATACGTTTGCCGCGCATTCCGTTTTTAATATGGGAGAGGATACGGAGGAGAGGTTAAAATGAAATTGATAGGATGATATGCTGAATGACAATGTTTACTCATTTTTAACTATTGAGTGTAATTTATCATGTAATAGAAAACAGTCAGGGATCAAGCTTTTATTGTGCGCTACCGGAATTTTTACTATGCAGCACCGGAATTTTTCTGGTGCTAGACAATTGAACCCACTTTACCAGACGGCACGGTAATTTTTGGCCTGAATTTCTCCAGAAAAATTCTGGATTTTTTTTCTCCGTGCAGTCGCTCGTGACGACTATGCCCCATCAAAAATACCTCTGGGTGCCAGGCGATTGTAATCGATAGAACTCAACCCCGAGGATTAAAATACCAGCGCAGTAACTCATAAATACCTCCAGTCGATGCACGCTCTTGCGTCAATGATTGAAACAATGGAAATCCTACACCCAATCGCCTCGTCTTCCTTATGCTTCAAGGAAGCCCATTGTGACCGTAAATGTTATGCATGTAATTCGTCGGAACTCGCTAATGACGATAATAAACCTTAAAAAGACGTTTCGCTCCATTGCAAGGAGAAAAATTCCATTCACAGTGTAGATATTAGGGAAGTTACTACATTTGGCAAGTCCAGAATAGTTGATAACATCGTGAGAACATTTTGAAATGATATTCTTACTTGAGCTCTGAAAGTTTAGGTTAGATTTTCCATTTTGAACTGAGAGAAAACGTCTTTGAAAAATTGGATACATCAAGTTTTAAGAAAACTCATAATATAATTGAAAAATTGAAAATTTTGAAGATATTTTTTTTTCCTAAATAATTTGGGTGAAATAATTTTTTCACTACAAAAATCATTCTTTCGAAATCGTAAAAAATCTGCCCGTTTTTCGAATTTCACTAAAAATTCATTTTATGCTAAAGTAATAATATTTGCAAGAATTTAACAAATTCTCTTTATTCACTAAAAAGATAGTAACGTTCAGACGAAAGTAATTTGTTGCAAGATGCATCCGATTTTTAAATTCGTCTCATGAAATGTGATTCCAAAATTACACTAAAAAATCAGGCCCGGTCGCGCGCTTCGCGCGCTCCCTCCNGCGACGACTGCTTTTATCGTTGGAATTTCATAGGCTTCCTCTTTAACAGTTAATAACCTGCAACAGGAATCGGTAAAATGAATAAATCGGTTGGCAGTAGTTAAGAGGACAACCGGTTCCAGACTAATGTTAAATGTTTCTGAAGGGTACGTTCGTTCTCCCTCATGCGAAAGGTTCCGAGTTCAAATCCCGGCCGGGTAGAATGGTGCGATCTAACCATTTAACGTCTTGTCATCATCGCAGTATACCGTAATTGAGTCGAAGCGATGTAAAATAACGTTATTAAAAAAAAAAAAAAAATCAGGCCCGGTCGCGCGCTCCCTCTTTAGGGTATGACCGGTAGGGGTTGGTGGAATTGGATGTGACCCATTACGGGTCGCACCAATAACTTCCCGACCATTTGTTTTTTCTTTCATTAATTTTTTTATTATGTATTTATTCAATCTTTTTCTCACATTTCTCCGAGGAAATACCCATAGAAGACAAGAAAATCCGTGCGCGTGCTCGCACTCACACACACTCCCATGCACACACATCGCCGTATTCCGCATCGAGAAAAGATGTAATTTATCAGAAAAGTAAAATTGTTTCTTGAATGTATATCGATTTCGAAAAAAGCTAGTGAACTGCTGATTAAATGTCTTCCAGTATTCCATGATTTGTGCGTTATATCAAGATTCATCGTTTCTAACAAAAAAAACTTGAAATCGCATCGTTATGCACGGAGAAATGGTCTCGTTTACAAAAAAACGCTAATTTTCGACTTTTTTCCAAATGTTTTTTGGAAAAAACTGGAGAAACGCTGAGACGATCGTCTCCATAATCTAATCAGGTTCAAGTCACATGAAAATACAGCGATTAAAAAAAAAAAGTCAAATCGCATCGTTTGTTCAGGAGGAATCGTGGCACAAAATTTTTGTCACAGACGTACGCACACACATACACACATCCACACATACAGACAAGTACCTGAAAAGGGTCAGAAGTGGTTCCAAAGGTCATGAAACGTGGAGAAATGCTTAAATTTCCCCATTCGATTTTCGGGGTCATTACAATAACTTCCTCCCTTCGGGTCGGGAAGTTAACAAACGAATTATTTTTCAAACAACTTTGAAAAATCGCGAAAAAATCGTATAAAATCTGTGTCCAAAGTTATTCCTGAAGCTCGACTTCTCCAAAAGCCTAGACTACACCCAAACATATGAGAAAACATCGTTGAAAAATTGAAAACAAGACTGTGAGGAATAACTCATGAAATAATCGAAATCCTTAACATGACTGCCTTTTTCCATAAATAATTCACGAACAAAACACGTTACACTACAAAAATCATTTTTCGGAATCGTAAAAAATTTGTTCACTTTCCGAAATTCACTGGAAATTAATTTTATACAAAAAAAAAAAAGATTTCCTAAGGGTTTTACAATTCCCGTTATTTATTTTAAAGGAAAGAACGTTTGGAAGGAATTATTTTTTGCAAGCACTCAATTCGATGTCAAAATGTCAGGATTGGCAAAATGTAACGAATTATTTCGCAAAAATCTCTTCAAATCCACTAAAAATCCGCAGAAAAACTGTACATTCGCTTCTAAATCTAGACATTTCCAAAAGCCCAGATTACTCCCAAAGAATTTCTCCCAACCCCTTACCGTTGTCTCCTTTTTCTCCTCCTTCTCCGTATTCGCGTCCTTGTCCTTAGCGTCTTTATCCTCGCTAGCCTCTGTGTGTGCACCTACGCCATTGGTAGTTGGCTTGACATCGGCCTCCTCGATCCTCTCGAGTTTGCCATCACCAACTGGTGCAGCATCACCACCCTCAGCGGGTAAACCCTCCTTTTTGGGTGTTGTTGTAACGTCCATAGACCTCTTGCTGTGTCGCGCTCCCATCTTTCTTTATTTATCGTATATTTTTTTATAAAAAAAATTAATCAACGTCAATTCACCTGCAACAGAAGACAAATAATTCCTTTAGAACAAATTTTTTCTTCTTGACATGTCATTTTTCTATCAAATTTTCTCAAACTAGGAAAGGGGGCATCCATGTATGAAGATTTCTTTAACAATTTGAATAAACTATTCCTTCGAGTTACGATTTGATAGAAATTTTATGAATCTCAGGAATAAGATATTCAATCTTTCATGATTAATTTTTATATAAATAAAAAAACTTGTTGTTTTTCAATGAAAAGAAATATTTCCTACAATTTTTTTTAATTATTGAAATTAATTGTTTAGACTTCAAAGTCCCCAGTACATGAGGAATTCCACAATTTTATCATTTCGTTTATTTAATATCAGTAGCGAAGTGGTAAAACGGTTTAAATCGACTTATCTCCCAGTCGAATTTTTGAAGTATACTTCCGAATCTAAGAGAGATAGTGAAATTTTCGCAATTACATTTGATGTAGCTCGCAATCGGCTCTACAAAAAAGGTTATAACAAAAATTTTGCTATCTTTCTTAGATTTCGAGATATTTATTGAAAACTGGCCAATAGTCAAAATTGACTTGTACCGTTTTACCACTTCACTATTGATATAAATTATCAGTTTCCAATCATTTGTTTTTTTTTTATAAAAAAGAAATGTTTTAGTGCGAATTTAGACATTGTTGGACATAAATAATCGAAAAAAGAAGAAAAAAATATTTCGGAAAATATGTTTATTATTCAGTGCAAATGGTAAAAAAATAAAACAAAAACATTTAAATTCCCCATTCTCCAGAAACAAAACAAAGAATCCCACTCATAATTTTTGCCGATGCTGAACTGTATTTCTTTGTTTAAAATAATCATTCTCACGAATTAAGGTAATTAGGGAGTTTCACGGGGGCAAGTTCCCAATAATTTTTTTTGTTCTGAAAAAAAGATAATTTGCAGTTTTACTCCGAATTTAGATATCATTTGACGTAAAAAGCCGAAAAAAGAAGAAAAGAATATCCAGAAATATTATTATTCAGCCCAAATAGTAAAAGAAAAAATAATAAAGAAAAATATTTAAGTTTCCCATTCCCCAGGGACAAAACAAAGAATCTCACTCACAATTTTCCACCACGTTAAACTTCATTTTTTTGTTTAAAATAATCATTCTGAGGAATTCAGGTAATTAGAGAGTTCTGAGGGTGCATTTTTCTGGAAAAAATGGGCATTTCTCCAGGTTCAGCTAATAGGTTCACACGTTGGAGCAAGAACAATTGGTGGCACTGAGTGCCTACGAGCGTTGACTAACGGTAAGTTAAATTTCACAGAGATTTTAAACACCGTGTGTATCTGGTGGGCAGGGGGTGGTGAGGTGAGTATTGTTGAAAAGCGGGGCACGCGACGTACAACAAAGGGAACGGTTTTAGTTTTAGAAGTGGCATGAGAAGGACGCATTGGAGTATGTGGCAATGAGTGTTTGAGCTCGTGTGGGTTATGCTAACCCCACGTGCTCTGTAACATCTGCTCCACGGGGGCAACGGGATGTTTTTATTCCGTAATTCAACGTTTCAATTAGGAGGGAAATTTATTCGTTCGGTGTGCGAGGAATTTTTATGCTTTTCCCTTTTTCAGTCATTTACGTGAATTATGGAGATTCGGGATTTCGTAGAAATTTTTTGGTGGAGTGTTTCGGAGGTATAAAAAAGATTTCTTTATGATTTTTTGCTTTCGGGAATTTCGAATTCTTTTATTTTGCAAATGATGAAATTTGTGATGAAAAAGCATTTTAAGTTTTTTCTTTAGATCTTTTTTCTTCGGAGATGTTTGGAAACGAAGTCGAGTCTTCTTAACTTATCATCATATATCATGAAGAAGACTCTTTTTATATCATGGAATTTTTTTACAAAATCAATGTGGATTTTTTAAAAGAATTTTTCCCTTCCGTTTCCTATCCAAGAGATGTTTGCAAAAAAAGTTAAGTCTCTCTAACTCATGTTCTCCGAGAATCAACAGCCGCAAGTGAAAGAAGTTAAGAAGACTCTACATACAATTTTTTTCTACAATATTGCGGGTCAGTCTCCCTAGTTCCTCTCCAAATAACGCGTTCAATAAACATTTTAGGAATAAACTATTTTTTTAAAGAAAAATTATTGGAAATTTTTTCTTTAGAATTTTTACCTCTGGAGATATTCGCAAAAACAATCTCTCTAACTCCTATTGTCCGAAAATTAGCAGTCGCATTTGAAAGAAGTCAGGAAAATTCTTTGCTATATGTATATAGAAAATGTTTCTACAATAATATTATTGCATGTCACTCTCTAGTTCTTCTCCCTCTGACGCCTTCAATACACATTTGAGACTTCGTTACATTAGAGAGAGAAATGATATCTTCATAAATATCATCAAAATTTTTCACAAAAATTATTTGACATTTTTTCTTTAAATTTTTTCCTTCGATATTGGCAAAAAAAGTTGAGTCTCCCTTACTCTCGTCTTCCGAGAATCGAAAGCCCCAGTCGTAACTAGCAGTATTAGTTTTTCTGTTATCTCGACATCATCACTCCAGCATTTAACCGGCTATCTCCTCCAAAATAGGGTAGACCCTCTCAAATATTTGATGAGATTTATCCAGTGTGTGACCAAGGCTGGGCTGATTAAACTCAATAACTGAGGGAAAAACCGTTGACACTGTTCCCCACTCCCTGTTTGCCCACGAGAATAGGTCAGTGAAGTAAAATTTTTCGTGTGTGCTCACACCCCCCGGCCCCGAGGGCCTCTCAAAGGCCATCCATAAATTTACCCCATCTTATTTGCTCTCATTTTTCCACTTGAAAATTCACTGGTGTACTTAATAATTCGCCTACGTCTCCGCATCCCTCGTCGCGATCGGATAATTTATGATGCGATTAAAAGCCAAGTCCCCGTGTGTGGGAAGAAAGCAAGCGACGAGACTTAAAACGTCTTTTAGTCACGTTGTCCTTTCGCTTTTGTTTTGTCTCACTCTCAATATTTTTTTTATTCTCGACGTCTCTACACTTTTTTCCCCCTTCTCAATCCTTTTAGTTTCATCTCAAACCCCCTCTTCTCATTGTGTGATGGATACCCTCGTGTTTGCGTTGTTGAAAATAAAATGTACTTTAACCAAGCCTCACACTATAATTGGCATCGAGAATTTCCGGTAGGTCTATAGGAGGACAGAAGGTCAACCGAGTGTATCACACTCTTACCGCTCAGCAGACGGAGAAGAAAGTGCAAGGGGGAGATTTTTATTTATACAAGGGTATCAGTGTGAATGACATTGCTTGTGAATGACTGAAAATAGTTAACAAATTGATGGATTTTGATTTTGAATCATTGCAATTTGATGGCAATGTACCTCTTGAATGTTTCATGATTAAACAACGTTGTCGTTGTGTGGGGCTAGCTAAGATAGAGAGAGTAGTGGGAGACTATGATCAAAAGAAGCTTTAAGAGATTACGAATTGATCAACCGCTTAAACTGTGATATTGTGATATTATTGCTACTCATTATGGATTACTATTATTGACTAGGGGGCTACGCCCCCTGCTCGCCCATAATCCTTATTCTGACTCTTAATCTGACCCTCATGACCATTATTTTGACCCTGGTGACCTTTAATTGTGGAGTCTTAATTTTGAATACCAAATTTTTATCACCAGAAGTCGATTTGGATTTTTATAATATAGAGATATAAAAACATGATTTATTGGAGTGTTACTGGAGATATTTTTCTATGGCTTGTGTAGATGTAAAACTGTAATAGTAGCATCAAGGAAATAAAGTATTTTATTCAATTGTCATTGTGCTCCCTTTTTTTCACTTTTTAAGGAGAATTCTATTTCATTCACCATTGAACAACAAAATTCCGCACGAAAAAAAGTATTCAAGTTTTTTCCCTAGATTGTCATTTTTTGAAGATATTTGCAAAAGAAGTTGAGTCTCCTTAACCCTCGATCGGTCGCGTCATGGCACGAGCGCCGTTCTGTCTCGATTTTTATTTTTTACGCTGAAACGTTGTTGAGAAAAAAATCTGAAAAAATTGGAATTCCTACTTTCCCCCATGTCACACATTTAATCAATTTTTGTTCTGTGCATCTTTGCAGCGATCAAAAATTAAGATTCTATAAAAATTCGACTCGGTCAAAATCTCCCTGTTTAACCTCTAAATGTCAAATTTTTGCACTGAATGGAAATCAATTTTTGAATAATATTTTCACTTTTCTCGTTTTATATACTGATATTAGTTGTTAGTTGGAAGTTCAAAGTTACTCGTTTAATCATAAATACATCATTTTTTTAAACTTATTTTTTTCTCAAAATGGTAAAATACATGGAACGGCGCAGCGCTCATCACGCGACCAGATACGTTTGGTGGAGAGGTGCGACCACTCGAGGGTTAAGTCCAGTTTTTCGAAAATCAACAGCCCCAGTTGGAAAAAACTGCGGTTTCGGCCTAAATTTCGATTTTTTTTGAAAAAATTATACTTTACTCATTTTTTCTGCACAGAAATTGAGCTGATAAATCGAACATTAGTTTTTTCTACTCATCGGGTGCATCTAAGCAAATTGCCTGCCTAGCTTGATGGCCAATTCCTTAAAATCGAATTTTTTGCAGAAAAAACCAGATTTTCTTTTTGGTTTGCGCAGAAATAAAGCAAATAAAAAGCAGATAATTTAGGCATAATTGTCATGTTGGTCCGAGGGCCCTGGCTGTCCAACTCTATGGGGCTAGATTTATCGATTGAGACGTGTTGGGTTCAGTCATTGGGCGCTATCATTGTTCCAACGAATGAACAATTTTTTTAAAGATCAAAATGGAAAGTTTGTTAAGAAAATAATTAACTTATCACATTTCACATTTCCTTAGGGGAAAAAAGATGGAACTTTTCCTCTTAAACGTTTTATAATTAGACATTTGTTGACACATCGTCAATCCGCTCAACGGCTTAAGCCCTACAGCTGTGTTCCTCAGTTGATCTTCTCCCCTTCGGTACTCCACAAAAA